AATATACGAATCGGCCTCCACTGGCACATGGAAAGCCCAAAGCGTCAGATAAAACATGATCCAGAGAGGCTGGTTCCTCTACCCTGAGCAGAAGGAGCTTAGTTGACTGAGTTAGTGGCCATGTCAAACACAAGCCAAGAGCAATCTTCGTGAAGATGTTTGGTTTGGCTTTCATTGCCCAGTACAGGGTGCAGTTCCTGTGGGGCTGGGGAGGTTTCCTTCTGGTTCAGCTGCCTGGAGCCCAGTAGCTGAGGTAATGCTTCCCTTGGGTGGACTTTGCTGGCATGGAGCACCTTGCAAGGTGAGGCTAGCTGTTTCCCCTGCATGCCATGGCTGAGAGAAGTTACTGGTGTGCCTCAGGATAAGAGTGAACTGCACCTGACTGCCCCACTTCACTGTAAACTTAGATAAACCTTTAATGACATTGAAGAGAGCATCCTGGATACCTCATCTTCTTGAAACAAACTCACATGCATTATGCTTTGCTTCCAGTTTCCCTTTTTAGACTAAATCTTCCTGTATGTGCACTTAACCAGTAGGAAATGCCTTTAGATTTCTCCAATTCTGCCTGCTTCAGAGCATTTTAGTCAAAACTTTAATTAAAAAGAGAAGCGAGAACAGCTCTGAAGTCCAGCTGTTTCTGCAGGTGCCCAGGGGAGCCCTCCAAATGACCTCTTTTCAAGTTCCTCGGCATATGGACGTGTCTCTTCTCTAGATTTTATGCTTCTCTGCCTGTTTCCCATGCAGGTCACCTGGACACTCCCTCACATCAGGGGAATTTCCCAGGACAGATGTGAGCTGGATGTCTTTGCAGATGGTGGTGCCCAGCACCACCGTACCCTGTGTCCATGTGATTTCCAAAGAGGATCACAGAGACCCAGTGCTCTCTCTGACTCTGTCTTTCTTATTAGCTGGTTCAACAGCTCCTGTTCTAGCATGGACCAGAACTGGACTAAATTCCTTTCTATTTTATTTAAATAGAAAGAAAGAAAAGCCTTCTGTTGGTAACTTTCCTGTAATAAGCCAGTCACTGCTTGCTGTGGGTTATGGATTGTCTGCTGGAGCTTGATGATGCTTCAGAGATTTATTGAGCTGCAGTTGCCTTAATAAAATCTTCACCTTTGCCTGGATCTCCAAGCCTGTGCTTCTCATAAGTTATGCAGGATTACAGAAGGACTTTACGGAGAAGTACTCATATTTCTTTTCAGACGTGAGTCAGTTCCCATCCATAACCTCTGTAGCGAGCTTTCTTCTCCATCACCCGAAGCTCAGAACTTGCTAATGCTAATAGGCTCACCTTTTGGCTCCCGTACAGCAGCTGGTTTGCTCAGGGTTTGCTTTCATTTGTCATACTCTAAGCTTTGCGGAGGAAGATCCTTCAAGAAACTGACTGCTTATCCTCTAGGCTGGATATTGGAGCAGATAAAGAAATACAGTTACCTGTCGGTATGAATAGATGTCTGCAAAATGCAAATAGTTACTCTGTGGAAGGGCTTGTGTTTATCACCTGCAGACACCCTGCGTGGAGCTTACAGTGGTCTCAGCACCCTCCCACCCACATTTCCAAACTAGGTCCAGAGGTGCTGTACATTTTTCACAATGTGACACAACCTCTTTTTTTGCTTACCCATTCCTTTATGTTTTTGGCAGAGGGAGACTCTGAGATTTTCAGGTTGCTTTCCCATCCTTTTTACCTTTAGCAAAGAGATGCTCTTTACGAGCTGATGTTCTCTGGCAGCATCCATATGACTGCTGACTTCACACGCCCCCCTTGGCATTTTAACCCAGTGTGCAGGTTTCAGAATCAGGCCTGAAAGTTTTCTATAATTTTATTCTGCTTTACTGCATTCCTTCGTATGTAGTGCTCAGCTCTAATACCCAACTATTCAGCAACCGTGTTAGATATGCATATATATGTGTGTGTGTGTATAGATATGAGTTAGCACTCTGGAAACCTTTTTGCCTGCATTTGCCCAAATTGCTGCTTCTACAGCAGCAGCCACCTATATTTTGTATTTGACTCAAAAGCTAAATAGAGATAACTGCTCCACAGGGCAGGACAGGGAGGACATGGAGAGTATTGACCTGAAACACAAAAAAGGAAATTGCATCTTCTGATTTGTCCTGATAGGACATTAGAGTCTATGTCTGGATTAGCTCAGGTCCTCTTAAATAATGGTGTGGCATCAAATTTGGAGCATTTGACAGTACACCCCATCAGTTTTGGATTTGGTAGCACCATGTTATATGAAGAAGGAATCAAAGATACCATGCACCCATTTTTCTTCTTGCCTCCCTACCTTGCAAAGACTAAGTTTGTGAGACATGCTGGGAAAAAAAAAACAAAGGCAAGAGGCAAAGAATATTATATTTTGTTTCAGAATGGAGATTTATAAAGCTCCCTGTTTCTGCTCATTGTCTAATTAGACTAATTAATCTCTAAAAAATGGGAATATATTGATTCCCTTTGAGGAGGTAAAAAAAATATCTGGAAGGTGTAGAAATGATGAGATATGGTCCTAAATTACGTGTGTGTTATAATAACATAAATAATGAAGTAATCTGTGTATTGACTGGGGAAAGTTTGTGCTAAACCACCATCTAACATCACCCTTTTCTCTGCTTCAGGAACTCCAGTCTGGTTCTACATGCAAATTGCACCTATAAGAAATGAGCATGAAAAAGTAGTTTTGTTCTTGTGCACTTTTAAGGATATCACTTTGTTTAAACAACCAATTGAAGATGATTCAACAAAAGGTAAATAAGAAATACACTGATTTTTTGTAAATGATAAAGTACGTGCTTGAACTCAGTCCTGTGACAGGGACATGTTGTGCCTGTGATCTGTGTCTGGAATTCAGGAAATGTTTTGTGACCTGTCAGAGTTTTATTGCTACTCTCCTAACTTATTGCCTAAAAATAAAGGATAAATCACCATGCGTGGAAATGCCTTAACAACGTATTGTTAGAGTAATAAGCCTTCCTTTCTCTTTGTAATTTTACTTCTTCTTCACTACAGCTGGCATTTGCTAAAAATTACTTAGTTATGAGTAATTTTAATGCTGTGTTGTTTTGGGAGACGTTTCTTCTGGTATCTGGTGTCTTCTTTTCAGAAAAACCAAAATCATCTTTCAGCTCCTTTGTGCCGAATTGTTCATATTTCCTTCCCTTCTCACTCTTGGAGATGAAATACAAAAGAAACAGCCTGTCTGGGATCTGTATTACTGGTTAGCAATGATGACTGCATGGCAGTAGGTATTGTGTTTATAATTTACCAGCTACTGGTGATGGTGTTTGTTGAGATGTGCCATGTCTTTGTCACCTGACAACCCATGGCCAGACCCGCAGCCTCACACAAGAGAGAATAGGTGGGGAAAAGAGCAAAGAATCTAGCAGCATCCCCTGCTTTGGTTGAAAGACATCTTGCATCAAGTTCATATGTGTATTGCTTTGGATAAAGTAATGCATGCTTACATAAAGAAAGGCATTTATGCTACAGCATCCACATCCCATCTTCACTCAGGAATTGTCTTCTTATGATTAATTCCTTGCTATATTTTTCTTTTCATGCTTGGAGAAGGCTTGATTTCTCACCGAGAGCCATGTGTGCTCTAAGCCACCTTCTTTAAAATAAACTTGGTGTCATTTGAATGCAAACAGGGTTGAAACTAATTTCTTGTGATCTAGATGACACTTATATGCATTTAGATAACTGTAAAATAGATTTATAAAAGTAGACAAAATAAAATAAAAGGCCTCTCTTTGGGCTAACACCAAATAGGAGATTTTTTTTGTCTGGAGAGTATTATCCATAAAGTTGTAAGATCCTGATATAGGAATCCTTTTTCAGCCATCATAATCTTTACTGCCTCTACACTTTAGTTAGCATCCTCCAAATGTTCCTTGCTTTCTGCTCCATAACATAGAGTTATTCTGCCCAGAAAACACTGATTTATTTATTTATTTATTTTTACAATGAATGGCAGTTAATTGAAAGAACTTTAATTGTAGAAGTCTGAAGGCATGGGACTGGCTCCTGGCTGTGGTGTATTTAATACGCAGTGAGAGCTCATCAAGGAAAAAGCCAGCCTTTGCAGGGATCCTCTCGCAGGATTTCCTATTTGATGCTTTCTGGGAGGACCAAGATATATCTCTCATGGAACCAGCCCTCAGCCCCCTCCCTTTCACCGGCTCTGCCCCAATTGCCGCAATACGTACTTGCACTGAGGAGTGTGTGGCTGCCGTAGGTCAGAGAAAAAGTACTGAAGGTGCCTCCCAAACGCAGAAATTGTCAATGTAACCTCCTTTCGATTCTTGGCTTGGGAGATTTCTACTCAGCTGACTTCCCTGGGGAGGCATGGATGTGCTGAGGGGTTGGGCTTTCACCCTCCTCATCTTGTGGCTGAGAAGAAGCAGAATCCACCTGGCATCCATTAAAGGAGCAATATATGTTCCTACGGGAAAGAGCAGTAGCTGTAAAGTGTGTAACTTGTGTACTGCTGTTCTCTGGTGAAGGGTACCATTAGTTAAAATGCCAGGTATTAACTATCAGCTTTGCAAATTATTGTCGTCAGCAGCCCAAGAGGTTTGACTGCATGTTTAAAGAGCACTTACTTCTGTCAAAGTCATACTTTTAGGGGGGGAAAAAAAAAAAAAAGGAAACAAAACACTGCAGAAGACAGTAGGGCCACATCTCTCAAGTGCCTTTAAGGTGTATGTTTGGAGACATAAGAATTTGCTCAAGGTGCTTTGATTAGAGCATTGATTAACAATGGTCAATACGTCCAACAAGCTCCACGATTACATACCACTGACCCAATTTTTCTTCTGCATTTGCATAAATTAGGTTATATCTTTTACATTCTTTTAAGAATAATAGTCAAATATTTGCACCATTTTACTACAAAGATGGGAGAACAGCACTTTTGCATTACCCTTTGTGTCTCAGCTGGGTGGATCTGCAGGATCTCATGGCACTGGGATCACAGTGTTGTTTTGTCGGTTAGTGCTATGAGAGATGCATAATTCATTGTCCTTGCAGATAACATTACAGTGTGCTTAGAAGCTGCCAGGCCACTTTCTTTCTGAATTATGAGATTGGTAAACATATACATTACAATTTAGTGGAGAATTTTTAAACTTTTGTAAAAAGCATTTCAATAAAATACTGCGGTTGAGTGGTGGGATTTGTCATTGAAAGGGATTTTTTTTTCCCTTTTTAAAAGAAGAATATTTCTTCAGAAATTCTGCCAGGCCCATGCAATACATAATACATAAGTAACTATGTTGCAGATGAGTTACTGTCTATTACTCACGGGAGCAGTAAATTTGAGATAAAAAATTCAACAGAAATAAAATATTGATGCCATTATGCAATAATCTCTCTGTACCAATATATTCTGCACCGTTCGAAGGTATGTTGCTTTGTTGTGCAGCTTCAGTATATCATGCTCCTATGAAGTATGAGGATTTCAGTATTTGGCTCATAACAATGGGTGTGTCTACACTGCAGGTGTCTGTGTGTCCCAGTTCCTGGAAAAAAAAAATGGTTGAGTTTGCCAGATCTGCTTGCAGTGGCTGCAACGCAGTTGGTGTCTTGTGTAGACCTCGCAAGGGAACAGCAGGTTTTGGAGGAGAGGGAGCAGTGCCCTGGTCCTGAGGATGCAGAATTGCTCTGAAGTATTGGGAAGCTTGTCATATTTGTGAAAACAGGACGTACGAGAAAATAGTTGTGTTACTACAAAGCACATTGCAAAAGCAAGGTGGGATATTTTATTCCCCGATACAGGCTCAAAATCAAGATTCTTTACAGGCTCAGTACAAAAGATTGTACTAGTTGGAGGGCTGTGATGCACCGCGAGAGGTGGTTTCTCTCTCTGCTTACCTGTGCTGCTCACCGTTTGCAGCGTGTTAATGCTGCCAGAAAGGAGGAAGAAGAAGAGGAGGAGGAGGAGGAAGTAAAAGTAATGAAAATTTTTCAGAGGTCACCCTAAAGACTGTGAATTTGTTGCAGGCTAGAAACCTGTTGAAACTTATGGGACTGAAAGGAAGACTGGATAAAAATATTTGAAAGCTACCTTCCTCTAATAAGATGTAGTGGCAGAGATAAAACCCCCTTGTTTTCTGGTACAAGGCAGTTGAAAGCTAAAGATCTCACTGACTTGTTTTCTTGTTACCCATACTGGTATGTATCATCGCTGGGCGATGTGTAGGACAGGTATGATAGAGAGCAATATAACAGCCACCAAAAAGTACTGTTGTATCTTTGTAAATGAAGAATTAGTTAAAAGTGTGTAACCATGCAAAAATGTAAACAATCCCAACATCTGAAGTAGAAGTGAAGATGGTAACAGAAGGAAACATTAGCTCCCTGGTTCCTGTGCTCACTCCTGGGTGAAGATGCCACCTGCAGCTGTGCAGGTCTGGGGGTTAGGGAGAACACCTTCTGTTGACTTGGTTTGTGATTTGTAGTGCCCCAGCTCCTGAGTCAGTGCCTGGATGAGCTGTGGATGGCGGCAGTCTGGAAGAAGAGGTGTGAAAGTTCATGATGGGGCAGGAAATGTCACAGGAGGTGATTGGCTGTGCTTGGTGGTCACTGGGTCAATGTCTTATTTTCCAGTGAAGGAGCTGTGTTATGTTCTTCTGGTCTCTTTTCATTTCTTTCTCCTTCCCCTCTTTGACAATATGAACATCTGTCTGATCTGGATTCAATACCAAACAGTAAGTCTTACCTGTAATGTTGGAGGGACAGATCCCCGGCTGTCCTAGCTGAATACCTTACACAGCAGAGGTGGGAGGCCATTACAAGCATATGAAAGATCATTATATGTATTTTCTTTCTTTTCTTCCAGAGAAAAAACCCCAAAGAATTTTGGTTTGGGTTTGTTTTTTTTTAAATGTTTGTACCATTGTAGGATCGTAGTTGGATGCTTTTATCAGCTTGCTGTTTTTTCATTCTGTCTTTACCCAATGGTTTTTAAAAGCATCTGAAGCCTTTCAATCCCTCCAAAGACACACAGTGGTTATAATCTCATGTTTATTTATCAGGGAAAGAATGAGACTCTTTTTCTGGGCCCTAACTATTAGAAGGGGAAATGAGGCCACTTAAAATGTTAACACTGTCTGAAGCCAGGAGTGCTGTAGATTATATTGAACTGAAAGTTTAAGGATGGAAAAAACAGACTGGTGTTTTTTGGTCAATAGTGAAGTTTCACCTAGTTGTGCAATGGCTTTATTCCCTTTGTTATTGTCCGTGAAGAAAAAGTGTGTCCTATCAGTAAACTTGGAAACTTTTCCCACTAGAATTCTCGCTGGTTATCTGGAGCCTCTTTTGAGTGAAATACCAGTCTTGTGCTGGAAGGATTGGGAAGTTCTGGTGAATACTGATGGGATGCTGAATTAGGATGTAAAGATGTGTTAATGAGGCCCCTAAAAGTCAGGACCATGTGCTGTTAACAGATGGGATCAGGAGATGGCACAGCAGTATCCTGCAGTTGTGGTGTTTTTTCTTTTTTTTTTTTTTTTTTCCCAGGCTTGACAGAGTCAGACTTTGATAATCAAGACTGTCTGGGACAATGCTGTAATACCTCCAGTGATATAACTCTTTATGGTTATATAACTCTATATAATGATACAACTCTATCTCAGACTGTGACAGGGCTATAAAAAGTGTGGTAGTTGCAGAAATACGCACTTAGGCTTTCTAATCCTTGCTAAGCCTATAATTCTGATGCTTTTTTATCTTTAATAAGTGCAAG